TTATAATTGTATCTGAAATTGTTAGGCGAAAATAGCCTGCATGCCGAATTTCAGATCTCTAGAGCAATCAGAAGTGGGCTAATTTTCGTTGTCAATGTTAACAACAAACAAATCCACAAACAAACAAACGCGAAGCTAAGTTAAGAAAAACGTGTTAATAATAATAAAAATACGTAGCACAAAATACAATTAATGAGTCAATAATACCGTCTTAGGGCCGCGTCAATATACTGTGCAAACCACATAACGCAATAATATTTTATTAGTCCAGTAGAGAAAATTAGTTCCCATGCCTTGATATGCCTAATCATCTGCGGCGACTCAAGCTGTGCTACGCAGTTAATGAAAAAGTTTTGCGTGAGCCATGCACCATCTCCACTTGAGACCCACCGAAGTAATAAATTATTTAACCATTAGTATTATCTTTGAATTTAAAATTCAAAAAAGTTTGGAGACCATTATAAAGTTCAACAAAGTTTAGCAGTAGCATGGTTGAACTATGCATGGTTGAACTGCAGTCAATCATGAGCTGTAGTTTCTGTCGTCCGCCATGATAATGACAAGCGATCAACATAACCACTTCTAACTACCGCTAGGGTCGCAATGTTAATGTTCGTTTGTTAATATTGCGCAATGTAGCTCTAGACGATCCAACTTTTCCAGTTTGCGTGATATATTTTCAGGGTCATGAAAATCACATAATATATTGCGCAGCCCCTCAATATGGCACCTAGACACTCAATATTATTGCGCAAACCAAATTATTGTAATATTGTTTATCAAGGTATTGTGTACAAAATATTGTAATATTATGGATCTAAGTATTGTGTGCAGTACTCTATCAATTCCAGAAATCTCTCACCCTGAAAAAAACTCAAAATTTTTATGTGGGGGGAGACCTCCATCAACCCCCAAACCCCATAGGTTCTGTCTGACCCCCATCGTCTGAGCTGAGATAAGACGGTGTCCTGCGTTCAGTCCTTTCTGAACCGTCGTAGTGTCGACATACCAGGGGCCGTATTATCAAAACTTCGTAACTTTTTGTACTTCCGACAAAAAATTTACGTGTTACGTAAGTACACTCTAATTTTGGCATTATCAAAACATTCGTACGTAAGACTTAGCTAAAAGCGTACTATCAAAACCATCTGGCCAACTGACCAATAGAGGCTTCGGATTTGTTTACATTCTGTGAACTTCGATGGCGGGAATCGAATCAATCGATGCCTTCGACGGTATCTACTATCGAATGCTGTCTGTCGGTATTGCTCCTTGTTGGCCCAGAAAAAGCCGTTCTAAAATAGTTGTGAACTCTTTTTAATAAACAACGTGAGTTACCATAGGTTCTGTCTGACCCCCATCGTCTGAGCTGAGATAAGACGGTGTCCTGCGTTCAGTCCTTTCTGAACCGTCGTAGTGTCGACATACCAGGTAGCCGAAAAGTTGGAAAGTGTGAGTACCCTGCAGTGTAGCTCTGATATGTGTAAATAAGTTATATTATAGTGAGTGAATATTGATAAATCATCTTGAAGTAAAGGTGGAGACTAGAATTATTTATTTAGTTGATATCTAAAATCCATAGACCACGTGGTGTTGTTGAATTAAGTTGGAGACACGTGCATTGGCAACGAGTTGTGACCCGTGAGTTCACGTTGAGTTCTTGTCAGTCCACGTGAAATTTTTACAGGCCGAGCTACGTGCATTTTTATATAATTTACAATTTGCTGTTTCCGACATGTATTTTTTTTATTGATTCTATTGATCTATTCTTCACTAGGAATGGCAAGTGGTCTGTTTGTTACTGTACATTTAGAATGACAAGTGGCGTGTTTGTTCCCGTACATTAGGAATGGCAAGTGGCGTGTTTGTTGCCGTACATTAAAAATTGCAAGTGGCATGGAATGGTATGCGGTTTTCAGACCCGACCTAGGTCTAGGGCTATGCCTTATCTCTCTTTTACTAACCTTGAAATATTCTACAGTGAAGATAGCTTGCAACACCGTGGCAGTGGAGATGGGTTGCGACACCGAGGCAACACGGAAATTGATTCGTGACATCGAAAAGTTCAGTGAAACTCTGAAATCCAAGGTAAATTATCTTGAAATTTTACATGTATCATGTCTTGTTAATCTTAAATCCATTGTTGGAAACACACTGAAAACGATAATTTTGGTTTGCATGAAAAATACGTTGGATGTTGTTAGCGAAGTTAGGAATGCTTTGTTAAGCACTCACTTTGAAAGAAGGTCATACAAGAGCTCTGCTGCTTAGGCTCACTTGATAATATGCTGCCTGGATATTTATCGGACACCGACGCAGATGTTTTCCAGCGTGTTAGTGTTAGTTGCAAAGAAAATGGCTGGGAATTAACATTTCTTTTTTTTAGTAGCCGATGTTCAAACTGTGACTACTGTGAGTTAATTTTTTATTTATTTTATTTTAAAGTGAACTGCTGTGTACATCACTTAGGGGCCGTGCCCATTGTAAACGTTTCAGGATTTTTGCGGCCCATCCTTCGTGTTTTCAGTCGTTGCAATCAGCTCGGCATAAGCTTTCATAAATATGCTGAAATTAAGCATCGTATTTCCGATTGATTTTACTGTCACATTGGCAGGGTGAATTTCGTAATAACTGAAAAGATGTAGAACATAATTAATGACGCCTGCAAAGAACCCAGTCGGGCTGAGTCGGCTTGAATTATTAGGACACTTGCGTGCAGCTGCCACTTTAAATTTTCGAACGGTAGCAGCATTTATTTTTAATGAAGGTTATTGTAAAGATGAAAGCAATTAAAATCCATTTTTTATTGTTTTGAAATTACCTGCTATAAAAAATTCACTTCCAATAAGATATGTTCAAATGGAATTGTTCTTAAAACGTTATTAGTCTCATTTCAATCAAACTCACATGATCTAAGAAGGTGATCAATCAACTCCAGCTTTTACAGAAACTCGATTTTAACTTGATTGAAATATATGAGTTGTCATAGTGAAACATTTGCAATGAAATATGATAAGTTTCGGAAATTTATGTAAAATAATTTTCTCACTGCTACAAATTTTTTCATAAAAATTCTCTTTGCAGAAAAATGCCAGCGCAGATCTCTCGATCCTCGGCACCCTGAGGTCGCTGTTGAGGGAGATCCTAATCGACTCTCCGGATATGGAGGCCGCGAGAAAATTATTGAATGCCTTCAAAGATGTAGCGTTTGCCGACCTGAAAGACTACACTATTGAACTCGTCACTCGTTCATTGAAGCTAATAACTTATGAATTCAATGACTATGAATTCATTTATAAAGCCACCAAACAAGACGCAAACCTTGTTCGATCCCTTCGCAATGTCCTCAGAATCTGCCTTGAAGGAAAACTTTCGGCTTGTGGCTGTACAGGATGCCGGAGAATCCTACGGCAATGCGACGTAATTTTTAACAAACTGGAAGAAGCCATGGAATGGATGGAAGCCGCCATTTTGCTCAAAGATGAAAACATTTTTAAATGTTTCGATATAAAGAAGGCTACGAGTTTACGCTACTATTTACTTGAACAAAAGTGCTCCGACTGCCGTACGAAGCTCGACACGGACGACAACTTCATAATTTTTAGCGACTGCACTCACGTCTTGTGTTTGCGGTGCTACCCAGCCACATGTTCAGCCGGAGGGTAAGTAGCAGTAACTTGGAATTTATATGCTTGCAGACCAGGTTTTAGGCCGCTAACATGTCAGCGAATTTGTTCAGTTTCCTTCCTCTATCAATTTGTGCCGTCGCACGCTCGCTGGCTAGTATCACTTGTGATATGATTTTATACGCTACGTTTGGCATCGTCAGAGACGAAACTTTTCCCGTATCAAGCGATTCACGGATCGGCATTTGTCACGCTTCCTTCCCCAGAGACCAAATTTTTAGCAAAATGTTATCATTATCTATGGCAAAAACTTTAAAAAAGTCAATGTGAAAAAGTGAAGGACAGCATTTCCATCATGATAGGTTGAAATTTCACTCTAGCCATCATTCAATATTTGCCAAATGATGTTATTCCTTCTCGTAACGTAGCAATGCCTAACGCGCTTTGTGAAGTGACAGCCGAACGTTAATGAGTTCATTTTTTGCAGCACGGCGTGTCCGCAGTGTCGGCGCAAGAGTCCCACTACGTTGGAGAGCTTCACCGTCAGTAAGATGTTGGCCTTACGCAAATGGAGGTCGAAGAATCAGAGTCACGAATACTTGGATAGATCAGTGCCGGGCCGTCACAGCGTCGTTGAAATACAAACTTCACGAGGACTTTATATAGAGATACAAACTACACGCGGACATCATGCAGAGATTTTAGATTTTCTCCAGAATTTTATTAGATTTGATAACGATTAATTCAGTAAACTGTTTGATTACGTTACCGAATTATTCACTTTGCGGTATGATCCACATGGTAATGGAGTAATTTGCACGGAAGATTCAGCTTCAAGCCAAAGGTGTCGAAATTTATGTGCACCCATTTTGGGCATAACGAAATTTTTAGTGAAGGCTAAAAATAATACAACAAAAATTAAGAGTAACATCTTTTTCATAAGAAAGCCACAAACGGAGAGTGGAGGGTAAAACTGCATGAAGTTGAAAGTAACACCGCCTGGACTGGAGGCTAGCATGGCAGGAAGGAGAGGATGACACGTCAGAAAGCAACAGAAAACACAGCTGAGACTAGAGAGTAACAAGAGTGACGAGTAACGCGTTAGAAAGTAGCATGGCAACTCGGCTGCGCCATGCTAAGAACTCCGACTGGAGGTTTATTAGTTTTTGGCTCCAACGGAGCGTCGCAGTTGAATGCTTCTGAGGGAAGTGACTTGGGGGCGCAGGTTTTTAATTAACACCGGGTGTGCATCACACTAAAAAATTCAATACAGCTGTGAATCAATCCCATCCTTGAATAACTGGTTGCAGCCCAACAATAACTAACGTAGTACGGAGTGTCCGTAAAAGAAAAATTCGAACGATAAGAAAATAAAGACCAAGAAGAATATCAGCCGATATTTGAAGAGCACACATGACTGACTAGTAAACTTGAATATAGTAGAGAACCAGCTAATGACAATCTTCCGGCTACGTCCGAAGACAACTCATCTTTCTATAGATTGAGTGTCAAGTTTAAAATAATGCGGAAAAAATAAAAAAAAAGCCTTGGGCAGGAGTGTTTTTTTTAGCGGGCCGTAATTGGCTGCTACGGCGTCAGCAGAGAAGTGTTTTGGTCCGAGTTCGAAGCTTGCATGGAAGAAGTGCAATTCAGTCCAGCATCGTCTACTTTTTCACTGTGTTGTAGCTCTTCATTTTTCCGACGACTGGCTCGGAAATTTTCCCAGTCCGCTACATTTTTCATAATACACTTCAGGGCCCGGTCAATTTCTTGCCGAGGAGATCCTCCGAAAGACGTGCAGTCAATAGCGTCTGTAAAACAAATCAATAGGAACACTCAACAATGGAGACCAAGCTATAGGATGAGTGGACTTCAATATGTTTCATTTCATAACTGTTGACATTACAAATTAATTTTTAATCAAATGCATTTGGGCTCTGGAGTGCGTGCCCTTAGAATACAGTTTTCGTACCAAGAAGAACTCTGTAAATTCCATGTTCCCTGAGACTTATTTTAGTTCTCAATCGTTTTCCGTCCAAACCGGTGAAGGAGAAGGTGACCGCGAGGGCCCGCGTCATTAGGCGCTTGAGCATCGCCCTCAAGGTGGCTTTCAGCGATGAGGCCTCCAGCCTTCGTAGCGTTTCGATCTGCAAACGAAGTAAATCGAATATAAAAATTTCCACTTAAAACAATATAGAATTCGTAGCATTTCGATCGGCAAACGAAATAAATCTATTGTAAAAATTTCCAATTAAAACAATATAGAATTCGTAACGTTTCGATCTGCAAACGAAATAAATATAATGTAAAAAATTTCCAATTAAAACAATATATAATTCGTACCGTTTCGATCTACAAACGAAATAAATTTAATGTAAAAATTTTCAATTAAAACATATATAATTCGTAGCGTTTCAAAATGAAAACGGAATAAAAATAATGTAATAATTTTCAATTACAGCAATATAGGAAGAACACAATCCAAACATGCTTGTACAAATAACATTTCCTGTAAAACTTGCATTAAAAACAATAAGTCCTAGTGAAATGGAATCAAATTTGAAGCAAAAGCTGCCTCCATTATTGCTGAACACGAAGATGTATTTGCATCAGCTATGTTCCAATATTCGAAAGACTCGCATCAATTCATAACTTACTATGTTTGCTCCAGCCAACAAAACTGCCAGTTCTTCTAGTGTAGCAGCGGGTTCCATGAAAGATGTATCGAAGAAGAGAGGTTGCAATGGCTTCCTCTTCATTTGCAGGATGTTCTCGTGAAGCTCCTTGAGCAATAAGTTGTTCTCCTGTCCAAAAAACAACGATTTCTTCAGCATTTTTCCAAGTGAGGCTTGTTCTTTTTCTATGGCTGATAGGCGCTTCTCCACGGCGGCATACTGGAAACTTCTGGTCAACTCCGGAGCATCACAAGAATCTTCTGCTGCTGGCACAGCCCTGAATTAAACAAAGAAAAAAGATCGTGCAAGCCATGCTACATCTATTCTGGATTGTGCATGAAAAGTCCTGAACAAGAAAGAAAATTCATACAAACGGCTGTTGCAATTCTACCCTAATCTTAATCGTGTACCACTAGTGCTGTCTCATCGTTTAATCTATTAGCCTCACATCATAGACTGTAGAAATGAATACGACCATTCAATCATAGTTCAATTAGAAAGTATCTTTCTGTATGCTTTGTCAGGTTTTTGAATGAAAAAAAAAAACAGGTTTGAAAAATTAACCAAGTTCAGGGCAATTATTTCAGTGGCTTACTAAGTTACTAAGACTTGCCAGTTTTAGCATGGGATTCGGACGTCACATTAGGAAAGTTTTCAGGCATAAATATTTTGATTTTGGTAACAAAATAATTATTGATATACTAGGGACAAAAAAAATATGTTATTAACAATAGGCCGAAACCTACGGAAATAATCAATGATAAATTACTAAACTCCATAGCTCACAATGAAGGGTTGGAATTGTCTGATCCACGTTGTTGGAGTTTTTGTTTGCCAGATGGCGACTTCAGTGCACGCGCGCCCCCTGGGTCAGTGGCGGACCTCAACCCTGAAAATTCTGGCATGACAAAGATGAACTATTATATACGAGTTCTGGAATAATTTCTGATATATAATACAATACATTTCATAATAGAACTACAGTCAAAAATTAACACTACAGAAAGCGTGTCAGGGTTTTATATAGATGGCATACCGTGTTCATGAGAAGGACTAGAACGATTTAGTAGACACGGACTGCGTCGAGAGGATCCAGCCCGAGCATGAGGTGGGGCATTGCTTTGGCCAGCTGAGGAAGATTAAACAAATGAGATGCGATTAATCGTTTCTACTCAATGAGATGCACTTCATTGTTTCTATTCAATAACATGCACTCAATTGGTTATACTCGGTGAGATGTACTTGATCGAACAACATGAAAGTAACGCGTAATCATCGGTATACGTCAAACAGCAGACATCTTCCAAACAATCACCCACATTCGACATAAGAGTTTGCACAAATGGTGGTTTCTGCATTGAGCTTGCTTAGTCACAGGTCTTAGCTATATACACATACAAAGGCCTTCCAACTCTAGTAACGTGAACTTTAATCAAATATTCATTTTAAGTGAGAAACAGTGGTGGCATTACCTTTGAAGTTCTTTCTTTATACATATAAATATGAGAATATCAGGAAAATGTAATTTCCAATTTTTTTAAGGAAATCCATTTCTATCCTACTCTCGCAACAGAGGGCAGGACACCTCCACCGGTCCGGGCTGCAGGCAGCTTAGTCCCGGGCTGTTGAGATATTGTATTTTTTGTTCTTTAATTAATGCTGCAAACAAGTAATTACTTGCTCCGCTTAAGAAAACTACCTATAGTTCAGTACAATTCTGCTACAAGCCTTTCCTGGTTGCCTCCCATTGCACTGACAGAATCAAATCAAAAGAGGAAATCAAAGTGAAAATAGTCATTACATCTGGAGCGAGCAGGTGTGGCATTCGCTTAGATAGATGAAAACGATAGATGCAATGGTTTTGAGAAATCCTCTCATTAATATCAAATAGGAATTTGCTATTCCAATCTTCATCAAAATAACAGGCTAACAGCTACTGGAAACGGTAGGTAAAAGGATGCTCCGAGTAGTGATAATTATAAATAAATATATTAGAAATGACTGGCTAATTAATTCTTACTATCAATTCATTCGAAACGCTTTCACTATTGCCAGTCAAAAGACGTGAGGAAATAAACGTACGTGGTGCGCTTCCTGAATTGACGGTGAAACTGCCGTCGCTCTGCGTCGACGGTGTCGGCCTGCAGGGCGCTGGCTTGTAAGTTGGCCCGCACTCTGATAAAAAATAAATGTGATTAATATAACAGGCAAGAATCAAAATAACACTAAGAGTTCAAGTCGTACCTGTCCTTCCCTGCCATAACAATAATCTATTTTAAAGACGTAGTACTCGAAACAAACGTGATACTAATCGAAAATTTCATCACGTTATACGATCGTCTCAATTCTTAAATCGACCCAATCCACTGCTTCTATTTTACCCCAAAATTTCCCAGCTTACAGGTACTGACACTCAATTATCCACAAGAGCAATCAACATTTTGCAAGAAATGAAGAAAAATAACTAGGAAAATGCACAAGTTTGAACAAGACCCTAACGTTTCTGCTCTTTATGTATATTCGGCTTGTGGCTGACTCAGACAGAAATTACAAAAAGTTATGCTTGCAAATTGTGCGTAACACAAACTAGGCACAATTTCGAAATAGTTGCAGGTCTCCATACACTGCATGCACGGTTCGGATGAATAAGACTAGGAAGTTATTCACTGAGATAATATAATCAAGCACCTCACACAATAAATTTTAATCTTCAGACTGACCAACTGCTAGCTCTAGTAAAGTGGACGTTTCTTGCCTTCATTGTCGATAGGCCCTGTGAGATACTTTAAATATCTCCCAAACGGCCAGCCCAACATCCAAAATGGATATCTAATTTCAAATAATAATCACGAATCCATGCACAATGAATGAATTACCGGATAAGCGCAACTTCTTCCTGTCAGGTGAAGCCGTCAGCCCCTGGCCACTTGCGCTCATACTCGCAGGCCGATGAGTCCGATACGGTGGCGGGTTGAAGTCTGGCAGGGGCAGAGGTGTGGCGCCTTTCTCAGGCCGAAGAGTCCGATACGGCGGCTTGTTGAAGTCTGGCAGGGGCAGAGGTGCGGCGCCCTCCTCAGGCCGAAGAGTACGATACGGCGGCGGGTTGAAGTCTGGCAGAGGCAGAGGTGCGGCGCCCTCCTCAGGCCGAAGAGTCCGATACGGCGGCGGGTTAAAGTCTGGCAGGGGCTGAGGTGTAGCGCCTTCCTCAGGCCGAAGAGTCCGATACGGCGGCTTGTTGAAGTCTGGCAGGGACAGAGGTGCGGCTCCCTCCTCAGGCCGAAGAGTCCGATACGGTGGCGGGTTGAAGTCTGGCAAAGACAGAGGTGTGGTGCCGACATCAACAAGTTCGTCCTCGGAAGACGAGGAGCAGTCAGATAGCATCATGCCTTCCACCTGAGAAAAGTCATCTGCAGGCAAAGCATATGTTCACTATTGAAGCCTATTAATACTGATACATAGACCGACATCAATGTTACTGGGAAGAAATGGTAAAATAGTTTCAGTACAAAATAATTCGATGCTTGTGTAAGAAATTAACACGTACGCTGAAAGCAATGCAACGTCGGTAAGAACTCATTCAGGTAAATTTAAGCTGAATTCGCTTCTCTACCGCTTGATGATAGAACGCTAAAATATGAATTTATCAATCAGGTTTAAATCATACATGCAAGTTTATGACACTCTCGTAGCGATTAGATTTTGTCTTAAGGTGCTTTACCCTTATCTCTATAATCCATATTTACATATATTTGATAGTTTTGTAAAACTGAAAATGTGATTGGGTCAAATTTTGATTAGTCCTAAATATAACGGGATATTAGATAAAAGCAGCCATTACAAAGTTACTCGACTCCCACCAAGAAGCACCTCAGATGTGACCAGCATTACATCACTAACCTGAAGTCGCGGCAACTCGCGCTATAGGCCATTTCTTCCAGTTGTTCTTATCAGGAAGGCATTTTTGCTGGGCCAGCTTGATCGGATTTCCTTCACCAGGCCAGTACGAAGACAGACCAGAAGAGTTACTGAAAATCCAGCTCTGTGGAACAACGGCCCAATTTTCATTATTGAAATAAACTCCAACAAAGTTCTTGAATTTTTTTCCAATCATGTTTCCCACAGTAACAATTTATTTGCATAAGTAGAACTAGAATCTGGAACGAAAAATCACAGGTCAATTATAAACTTGCACACACGAGAAAGTATCACCAGTAAATCAAAATTGTAAGACATCCAGTGCCAACTGTTGAGCGGCAACACTAGTCGAATGCCGATGTTAAAATTTTACCCGCCCCACATCGATGCGAGGAAATGTGACGGTCGGTCGGATCAGGGTAAGTTTAGTTACGGTTTTTAGCGAACTCCACATTCCTAATAGAAGTAATTCGAAACTTTTGCGATCAATATCGACTGGTTGGACAAGCTGTAATTTGTAGTAGAATGGATTGATTCTGTAATTAATTTCAAAATTAATTGAAAATAACCAACTTTACATTTTCACCCCGATATTCTAATCTCAAAAACGACGGGCAATAACAATATACTTATACACTGGGCTCTTCAAGTAAAAACGTGCGAGTAACAAATAACAAGTGCGAGAACAGTGAAAGTAGATCACAAGTAATTTTCGGCTATTCAACGCCATTAACAAACAAAAAAAAAAAAATGGCCAAAAAATAAAGATAGAAACAGGCATTACTACGCTAAATAATTGTTAGAATTCAATTTTATTCCAGGAACCACTTTATTGGTTGTTCAGTAAACCAACATATCATTTTACTGTGAAACTCTTATGACTCTAAATAACACTAGGGTTAACTGTTGACTATTTAATGCTATCATGGCGGCTGACATATTATACGAAGCGGGCGAACATGACGCAAGTAATGGCGCTCACGGCAACGACCAGCAGACAACTCCTCAGGCGAGGGAGCCACGACTAGGTGGTACTCGGTAGTCGGAACTAGGCGAGTGCCTGCCAGTCTAGCGCGGCGACACCGACACCCGGATTGACGAACGGGACCTAATTTTTATATCCATGATTATAATAACATCTTTAAATATCGCAGTTCAAAATTATGTTCCTGTATAATTTAATGTTACAAAATAGACACAATTTCAGAAATAAACTTAGTCATTTGTGAGAGATTTCAGATATTGTCGAAAACCTAACGTTTTATAGAAAGAAAATAATAGTCCAGTTCTTTCAGGGAGTCCTCTTAGGCTCATGCGAACCATCATTGCGACCGCAGGCCTTAAGTAATTCTTTTTATGAATCTATACATATCTGCTTCTTAAGCAAGGCATTCGTTAAAGAGTACATACAAATGGAAATGTGCGCAGATCATAACTGAGCAAGCAAGCATATTAGTCATCACTTAATCTCGACCGTTTCAACTCGAGAAATTTTATTCCCATGGTGCACTTCTCTTGTTACGAGACAAGAATGTCAAGTTTTATTAAAATTCCTAGACCACGAATAAAAGTTTACTTCAATAACAGTTAAGCAAAAAAAAATTTTTTTTTAATTCTCAGTTAATCAGCAACAGGCAAAGCAATACAAGCTGTAATTAGGTATGGTAGCTGTAATAAAAAAGTTCGGTCCGAATAAAGAATGGAGTGAAATAATCCCATAAATTATAGTCAGAATGCGAACAAATTGAATAAAAATCCGACATCCGAGAAATACAGAACTGAGTTTTTTCTTGTGAACGAAAGCTCCACTGCCAATTACACGCAAGTTGCCAGCCAGCATATACCTACTGTCCATACCTAGCTAGACTACGTAGGCTTGTCACTAAAATTTTGGTCACAGCGACCGAAGTGCTGTCACTGCTGTGACGCCTGACGAGGTTATCGACATAGTCATAGACGGTACTAAGAGAGCTACCGACCGTCAATATTCACGGCGCCAATCTTCAATAGAAACGATCTATTATTTAAACAAAAACGAACCACAAGTTTTTAAAGAGATTGGAAAAGCTTCTTGTGTAAGTTTTATGGTAATCCAACCCAACAAATCGTAGTTCTGATACTATTTCCAGAGACGAGTAGCGAGGTTAGTTCGGTATCATATACGTCTCTGCTGAGTGGCTACTTGTCAGCGTCGGTAGGGTAGCGGGAGGGCTCTTGTCTAAATGTCATTGCTGGCGAGTGACTGTTGACATTTTTTACTCGCGTCAGTCACGTGGAACATGGTTTTACTCTTAGTAAGGCCAATGCTGCCGACTGTCCGAGAGAATTTGATTCATTTTTACCAGCCATGAGAGTGCACAATAGATCTCAGTTTAGGCAAGAATAACAGCTATTGTAGTTCAGAATTTATACATGAACCATAATTTAAGGATAAATTCCAGCAATCTTCATTCATGCCTTCATGGTAGGCAGCAACACCTCAAGCTCAAGGCTCAACATCTAACGTGCTCTCAGGCTGTCGTCTGTCACTGTGACTGTGTCACTATCACAAACACGGTCTCCGTTCTGTGTTTGAAAAGTAATGGAAAACCTATTGCTCTCTTGAAACTAACAACTTTTCAAAATCTGGATCTTAATATGCGTCAGAATTTAGAAAAGCAAACACCAGGTACACTGCCCTAGTAGAAACATCTTGTTCACTCCACCTATCAGGGAACACGTGCGCTGCCTAGCCTCGAAGCATTTGAAAGCAAGGTAGAACTTGTGATCGCGATGATACTACGCTAGTCACACTCATACTAAAAGAACACTTAAATCGTAATATCTCGATTTATATGATGAATATAATCCACAAAACGTAGGACTTTAGCAAACGATTAATTCAGAATCACTCCGGGAAGAACCAAGGCATTGTCACACACTTGCTGCTGGGACTAAGCGTAAATGCAAACTGCGGTGCGGGAGGGGTACGTATGGGGGAGACCGCAGCCAAAGATCCCCCATGTCATTGGGGGTCCCTTAACTTGCTGTGATGGAACCATTTCTTAAAAGCCCTAATCAAATGAAGCGCCATCTACGCATGGTGCCGATGGTGAAATTTCAATTACAAGAAAGCGCTGCTCGTTATTGCGATAGAAACCAATTAGGTTTGGCTAGAATGAATAGAATATGCTACAATGCATGAGAGTACATGTAACTCTGACGTATCAGACCAATTTAAGCAAGGAGTTTTCTAAATTGGCGGCGAATTCCTCCTGATGGTAATTTATCAATTTTTTTTATTATGACGCGCTGAAACTATTTCAAGAGGTTAAATTTTGCTTCAAATATCAGGCATGACTTTATTCGTGAGAGGAAAATTACAGCGCGTTCAAATGGGTAACAAGTTTCAAACGGAAGTGTCATTTGGTAGCAACTGCTGCTATATGCAATACGATGAGGGCGCTCACTTAAGAAATTCAAGGTATAAAGCCGATTTAGGCAGTGGTTTCCAAACTTTTTTAGGCTGGCGCCCATTGGCTCCCTAGTGAATTTCTAGCGCCCCCCACAGACATACGCCTCTTTCTTGAAATTTAGCACGCTTCAAATTTAAAAGATAAAGGTTAAACACAAATGTGTACTCCACAAATAGAACCCCATTAATTGAACCAATATGTTTTCCAGCTGTTTCAACTGTTTCAGCACTAGAAACCTAGGACGTCTCGGGCGAATTAACGGCCGGACTCGTGGCCAGTCTCACGACCAATCTCCAATTTCAATTATCAAGCAATATCTCCCAAACTATTGAACGCAGCTCTATGAAACTTGGAACACGTATTCATCAGAACCTAACGGTGATGTTTAGCTCGTACTTTTTTTTAATTTCGCCTTCATTCTTGAGCAACGCGTATATTTCTAAACAGGCCAAAATTCTCAGTGATCAAAGAATTTCTTCCAAACTATTGAACAGATTTGAACGAAATTTTGATTATACATTCATAACTACCGATCGGTGATTTCTTAGCTTACATTTTTTTCGATTTTACCTTCGTGTGCGAGTTTTTTTTTTCATTTCACCGTCATTCTTGATTTCACACTTCATTATATTCGGCCCGTATGGCCAGAAATGGAAACTTCTCTTCTCATGTTACCCGGAAATTACTTGAATATCGCATGTAATTTTTCACATTAAAAAGTTTGGTCAGGTAATTTTTTCATTTAATAGAGACATCTGTATTGATTTATGTTGAATGATATTTTCGGTTGGAGGATGGCGTTCGTTTGTGTGTGGTCGTCGAAGTCTGGTACCGTGAATATAAAAGAATATTTGAGCGCGTATCCACGATAACTCTCGCTCGTGTCGGCAATAAAATTTTAAATAAAAGTATTTATTGTGATTCATTGCAAAATTACTTTGGCTTTTCCAGCTAACCTTCGCGAAGATCAAACACCGTAATTTGATACCAGGCACTCACTTTCTTAAAATGTTTATAATTGAATATTGGAGTATTACAATGCAGTTTTCTGTTTCTCTAGTAACTTGCTCAACAAGAATCCGACACCATTTAGGGCACAAATGCCGGTAGTTATTTTAGCTCACATTTAGTAGGAGCGTGGTAGTTAGGTGGCGTTCCCAGCAAAACAAGCACCACCGGTTACGAGTAAAATTTTAACCTAAGTTACAATTATTAATTCACATTGGTTGTGTCCTGTAATAATTGTAGATAGCAATTATAAGAATAATAAATATATTATTACAATGAACCGATACTGGTTTATTCAAAACATTTAAACCTAACTATTGTAGAATGTTTCGAAAGTAGAGACATGTTACGTGTAATTTCACATACAGTATTGTATCGTTTATATTTTAATGGAAAAAGGAGACTGTTCATAAAGCTTCTACAAATGGCATTACGCATTTCAATTCAAATTAGCAGAAATTTGTATATAAATGGTCTCCCCTTTATGATTTATCTTAAAGAACAGCTTATTTTGTGATGAGTGCTAAATTTATACAAAAATTTTCACTATATCTGGGCAATAGCCTACTGGAGGTTGACCTATGAGATAACTACTTAGGTCAATATATTATATAACGATCTAGGTCAATATATATTATTAATCACATGCGCTATAAAAGTTCACTTTCGTTAATTACTTATAGTAAACTTTTAGTGAGCAAATATAAGCTGTCTACCACAATTCAAGTCCCACGTGTTACGACGTGTCGCCAACACACAGGACTGGGCAAATCTGGGCGCTGTGATGACGATTGTGGGACCTAGTCGTACATAACAGAACTGAGAAATATGAAAGGTGATATTGTCCAAATTGTTTACAAGTTTTGTATTTAGCACTGATACGTCCATTCCAAGCAAAAAAATGGGTCAGGATGGTCCACGCAGGACCAAGAAGTACATCGCTATTTGACAGTCTCTCAATAGCTTTGAAAGAATTAACAGTACAACTCTGTCTTATAGACTACCATCCATACCAAAATTTTGTATTTAGCTCTCAAAATATCAATGGAAGGTCAAAAAAGGTGTTTACTAATTATCTTTGTCAACGATAAGCCTGGATTTTTATTTTTAATTTGCCAACATTTTACACATTTTTGCGCTAAATTCCAATCAAAAAAACTTTTTCGCCTGATTTCCAGGCCTAGCACGTGTGTATAAAGCAGCTGCGACAGCGTCATCTATCAGGTAGAAGTTGAACCAAAATTTCACACAAAGCCAAAAAATTGGTGGACCCAGACCCGCGGGATAGTTGGACGGTCAGTAGGCGTAAAAGGTTCATTTCTTCCTGAGCCTTCGCAGCGAACACTACTCGAAGTTAGCAGTATAGCTCTGTCAGGTGAGTCTCTGCAGCCTGGCTGTAATTTTTGTTATCTTGAATTAGTGGGAGTATATGTGATTAATATATATTAGTATTGCCACGTACACAGGGGGAAGATATAGTGAATTTCTAGATTTATTTCCAAAAAATTGTACTTTAGCTGGTGGGTTACTAGAGGAAACACGTTCTGTTACTCATGGGCCACTAGTGGAACGCGCGTCGTTATCGTGAGACTTGAGTCCTTGCCTCGATGTAGTTTTCCATCACAGTTTAACACTAAGTCAAAAACTCTGATTATTCGTAAATAATTATATTTTTTTTTACAAATAACACGGGTTTTAGCTAACCTCGTCCGCTTAATTTTCTTCTGGGTTGTAACGGCTCTACTGCTCGTTGCATGTTTGCCATTTGCATTGGCAATGGAAATTTTTTTATTATTTTGTGTGGTAAATTTTGCTGCGCTCGCTCAAAACTTCCTCTCCTTTTAACCTAGCTTTGAAACCTTTAACAGATAAGATGGCTCCTAGAACGAACAGAGATACACGGGCTCTGATTGACGACATCAAAGATTATACGAGCCCACGCCGTGAAAGGTACAACTCCAAGAGTCGTTCACTGGGGGTAAGACATTTACTATTAAAATTCCCTTATGTATAAGAAAGTCTCAAATATGGTACTTTTAACATCATGATAAGGTGACTGCTGAGAACAAAAATTCATTGGCGAATGATATGTCCAATTATGGTCGTGCAGCTTCAAATGTTAAAAATGGCAAATTTTTTATAAGAATTTCATATAAGAGCCTGATACTTGATATACTACAATGTATCGACGAACTTTACTCGACCCGTAACATATCATGTACTGGCGCAACAGTTGATTTTGAAGTAACTAATCTCTACTAACTACATTTCATCTCCATGCGTTGCGCTTCCAGTACATTCCTTTGGTGGTATGGATTTAAAAGCTTCAGTAACGTATATTTGGTAAATAATTTCGCTTATTTATTTCTGCCTGGATCATCAGATGTTCCAAGGACATTTATCGTAACATATGCATGCCGTAGTTAATGCATCAACTTGTTAGGCAGGTAAACGTTAAAATACAAAATCTAAGCTGTGATGTGATTATTGCCATTATTTTATTCATGCATTCAATAGATACACTAATAGAGGTGGATTAGGTTATCCGAATAATTAAGGGTGTTTATACCGAGTGAACCAAATTCTAAGAGTGATACACTTCTAGTGACGCTTGTGCTGGAACTTCAGGTTCTCATGTTAAAAAATTCTCTAGGGCTTCCATTTAAGTCATTGTTGTAAATGCAACCTGATATGATCGCGTGGAACGAAAATTTGTTAATGAGGATAATAACCTTGAGTATTTTCAAGTATGAAATAATGCCAGCGTTCCTGCTCGTAAGAGATTACCGTTTAATTTAATGTGCAAACCTCACAACATGATAACGTCATTTATTACTAGTATATCAGGTGGATAATATTATTTGCTTCAAAAAGTTGCAATTGATGCTGAAATATTAGAAGTTTTACTTGCCTAGAAATCATTATTCACACCAGGTTCATATTCGCTATCTAGAAAAACGCTAAAGTATATATTTTCTGATAATTTTTCCTTATAACATTTGACTTTCTTCCACCAGACGAACGCCAAAGCTGATCACAGGATACTGTCCACCATGAGTTCTTTGTTGACTTACACCATTCAGAAAGACGATCTGAAAATGAGTAATATTGTCGAGAAACTCTACGACGCTTTGAAATACGAGACGTTCGATAACCTGCGCACAACCACTATAAAGTTCACCAATTCCGCACTGATAATACTGCTTGATAAAATAACGCAGTTGGAGTTAACTCACAGAGCAACTCGGAGTGAATTGAACTACGTTGAGTGGCTTCACGATATCCTGGAAACACAATATAACGACCAAATCGCTCATGCCATTCCCAGGCATTCCAGAAAATTTCAAGAGGACTGCACTTTCATTCTTGCCAGACTTCAAGAGCTGATCGAATGGATGGAAGCATCCCTTGCACTTCGTGATAGAAACATTCGTAAAACCTTCCACATAATGGATGCAGAGAATGTACGCTATTATTTGCCGAAAGGCGAGCCGGAGGACTGCGCCGTCTGCTACGACACGAAGCTCGACTCGTCGGAGAATTTCGCGATTCTAAGCGGCTGTTCTCACGTTTTCTGTTTCCGGTGCATCTCAACTTTGCGCAAGGCTGGAGAGTAAGTAGTTGTCATTAGAAAATTCACAGATGGTCAGATACATTATTTTTAGGCCAAATTTGACAATATACAGGCGTTTTTTTTTTCTATTTCGTTTGCCGAAAAAATCTTTCAGGTCATAAAAGTTATTGTATTCTCAATATTTAAAATAATCGAAAACTTATATTTTGGCATGACAAATTTACCAAATATAGTATAATAGTTACAGTTTGGCTTTGTACTTTTCTCCTAATTTGATATTAGACGAATGATGTAGCTCATCCTATACGGAGGATATAATTGCGGTAATGATTATGCTCTACTCGTATTTCAACAATATTTGATCATCCTCTGACGATAAACCGACAATTGCTTGTTAGCGCATTTCTCATTTATGGAAAAAAATGCACTATTGTGCTCGCCATGTCCATGTCTGTCCTTCCGTCCGTGACCTCAAGTTTTCGTCGACGAGAAAATGCGCTCTCTGTCACTCACTGCAGTGAGTACTGAGTTATATTTTTTTTGCAGCCAGAAGTGCCCAATGTGTCGACAAGAGAGCCGCACGGCGCTGAAGAGCCGCGCAGTCAGGAAGATGCTGGCTGTGCGTGACTGGATGCTGAAGAATCACTGCAGGAGATGCTGTGAAACTTCCGGTGCTGACTGTCGGTCATGTCGATGCGGATGAAGTTTTTACTTATCAATCCTACTAGAACAAATATGTCAGTGATAATGTAAATTATTCATTATAATTAAGATGCCTAAATGTTTTAATTTCTCGTTTTCTAAGCCACAATTTTTTTCGAGAGCTAACTCGAAAACTGATTTTTACGTTACCTTCGTTTTGAAGGGGAACTAAACGAAGAACTCTGTACGAATGTAAATAAAACAAAACAGTTACTGGTCTCATTTCTCAGCCAGTAAGGATTGTAATTAATTAGTTAATGCCTGTAAGCAGTCGAGCTCAGTTGAAATTCAATAACATAATTGATGAGAACAGCAATCGTTGTCCATTTTTTCAGAATGTATCTTGCTTATTGTACCACATTTCAATGAATTAAAAATATAAAATCCCATGGACACCTGGAAGCTTCATTCAATTCCTTGTTCTTATATTTCTAACCTGTGGCTTATCAGCTATAAGATATAGCCCTGGGGCCATACTTTCAAAACTCGCTAAGTGAACGTAAGTACTTACGCTCTATTTTCTTGTCTATGATTGGTGGATTTTGCTTGAAAGGCCGTCAATGATTGGCTGATGAACTTACGATCTCTTAACTATTTTTGAAAGTATACGCCCTGACCTACAGATAGATGGAGTAGCGATAAGACATAACCTAAAACGTGCTCTCGAGAAATTTAAAAAAATATTGGCATGGGGAGCGTCAGATACGTGACGTTTCCTAAAAGTATTTTAATAAAATGAATTTTGGATACCAACGAGTTGGAAATACAAACAAATATGAACTACTTTTTGCTTCAGTCAAAACATGCAGCAGCGGTGACGGAACTGCGTTACTAAATATGCTTTGGAGAAGCATATTTTTTCTGCGGGTACAGAAAACGAGGATATCAATACATAAACTTTAGGCCAGCTAATAATGAAAACCGATTCAATATTTCATGAAGATTTATCCAAGAAGCCTACGAGCCTTCAAGCTAATGATGGGTGAAATAAAGTATGGTACCTAGGAAAGAAGGATAATAACTGCATTGAAGTTTGCTTCAGCGATCTTTCTATAGCATTTGTAACAATGAACACCACAGAACATTATAATTGAGCGCCTCACGTCCTGTACGTCATGTGAGTGGCGATCCACCGAGCTGCAAATGCCACGTATATTTTCATCGTGGAGTTAATAATAATGATGAATAGTAGACTTAGTTGTTTACCTTGTTTTAGAGAAACTATATTGACCCAATAGCAGGAAAGCAACGATCATGATGTCAATACCACAGCCAGAAAAAAAGATAAAAAGCCAGCGGTTATGCACTGTCACGCCCTACCAGACGTTTTCTGAAATGATCAAAAACTGAAAAATCTCGACGAACAAGAGAGGAACACACGTTGTTAAACACAGTACATAGAGAGCACTTCCATAGAATGCCGGACGCTAAATAAATCATACTGGATAAATAAATTATTAATAATAGGAAACTCAAAGAGTCCAATTGATGACTTCTCCAATAATTTGTTTGGGACTGTATTCTACGGATTTGAAAAAAAGGAAAAGTTAGAGCTCATGAATATCGATCATTCGTAACTATCAGTCGGAGAAAAATGGTACATAACTGAACAGTTTTACCAGCGACCTCAATGTCTGGGACTGTGTAATTACAAGAACTCCCAATCAACGTACACATGGAATTTGCCGCCGGTGAAGTTGCGGGGACTTTCTTCCGTGAGCTCAACAGTAGCAGCTCAATTGCCATGGCTTCCTAAAGGATATTTTATTTATTCGGCAGGTACAAGGTTTATTGCACCACATTTGCCCAATTGATTGTGTAAGTATCGATCACGGAGCGCGAGGGCGCAATCTCTTGGCTGGTCGTGGACGGCAGTTCAACCCTTGAATTGCTTCGCCCCAATGAGCTGTCACTCAATTTCCTACTCAACCTCCAACGGGTGGCGAAAACTATTTTCTAAAATAATTATTTATTAACGCAGAACAAATATAAATTTTTCATTTTGCATTTCACAAAGCGAAGAAATTGACTGTAATCTATCAAAATAGCTAAGCATGAATTGAAAATGATACGCTACAAAATCTACTGAAACTTTACTAACATTTCTAACCAAGAGACGGGCTTCATATATAGTTGTTCGGAGAGCCTCACGGGCACACTCTAATGATTTTGCTGCAGCAGGACAAGCTCGTCATGCTTGAGTAACGTGGCATGCGTTTTGTCCAAGCCAAGACTCGATTACACTATCAGTCAAAAACTGATAATTTGAATCATGTAACTTTAGTGTAGCATGGCTATAATCATGTGTGATGAATGATTTCATGTTGAGAAGTAGAGCATTTCACAAGATGTGATGCGGTCTCTTTTTTTCCTTTCTATTTCTTCGTCAGCTTGCTTCAGTACAGCAGAGTCTTCCCGCTCTTCTCGCAATAGAAGTTACACTTGGAATTGATTTCCAAACGCCCTTTAAGCTCTAAAACTGCTAGCAATAGTCACCCTGGAACCGATTTAAACGGCGTCTCTGGTATACTCCATGCCAACAATCTTGCCGATCGTATTGAGTTGTATGAACGACGTGCCCTCATATATTGTGCCAATCTTACAATCTCGATAGAACTTCTCGACGGGCAAGTCTTTGGTGAAACCGACGCCTCCGAGCAGCTCCACGCATTTGGACGTGACGCGCGTTGCCACTTCTGCACACATAAACATAGAATAATATAGAAAATAACGTATTAGGGGAGATCATTACAAATGATCAGCACATGAGGGAGAGAAATGGGAAGTCCTAACTAAAGGTGAGAGGCACACAGCTCTGGGCACCATGCCAGTAGAGCAGGAAGAGAAGTCCCGTGCTGCCTCTGGCGTCTACGCCCGCACTCAACACGGGCCATAATAATAATAATAATAGCGGTTTCAGCGTTTATTAGGCCGTAGGCCTGTCGCCGATTCTTAACATCGCAGAATATTCACAGCATTTTGAGGTCTCGAACTCGCAACGCACTGCTACAATTCTGCTGTGCTTAACCGCCCGGCCTCCTTGCCGATTCTGACCAGAAACCGACGCACAGAGCTGGGATCGAACCCGCGCCTCCCTAGTGCGTCAATCTTGGTACTCTGAACTTTAACCACTGGGCCACCCTGCCCGAGCAGATAAGAGCAGATATAGCCCTAATTCCAGATAAATAATATATCCAAGCAAAGGATGATTCATTGTAAACTATTCACTTATATTTACTTGAAGTGAAATCAAAGTCAAGGAGCAATGAATGAATTAATTTAGGTCACGACTCGTACGCTCGTCGTTCCAGGTAGTGGCGTCTGTGCATATTTGCCCCGAATTTCTCGTCAATATTCTTTTCAAATGCGCTTCAAATTTTAAGAAGCTAGCTATTTCTTTCTCAAACTTCAAGATACTTTTGAGAAATATCTTCTGTAGATATTTCTTCCACAAATGTTGAATATAGCTTAAATGAATCAAAGCACCAACCGCTTCAGAAATCATGGTTAAGAGGTCTAAAACTATTTTACATCCACATTCATGTATGCTATAAACACATCCATGCTGCTCTCATTCATCGTCCATCGTCTGCTTCCTAGCCTGGTGAAGACGGCTTGCTGATAAATCGTACGGCACCTTCAAAGCTCTAAAATTCAGCAAGCCTCGTCCTGTTTCCTCTGCCCAAAATGTCTCACAAATCGCGTCCGAGTTCTCTCACAGCCTCGGCATAACCACAAGGTTGTGGTGCCCGGCGTCTCACCTGCCCCGGTATAACCACAAGGTTGCGGTGCCGGCGTCTCGTCTGCTCCGGTATAACCACAAGGTTGGGGTGCCCAACATCTCACCAGCTTGCGGTTGAGCAGGAAGGGAAGGGGAGGGTAGTTCGTACCTGGAAGCTGTAGAGCGGCTGTTTGATTAGCTTGCGGTTGAGCAGGAAGGGAAGGGGAGGGTAGTTCGTACCTGGAAGCTGTAGAGCGGCTGTTTGATCTGCTTGCGGTTGAGCAGGAAAGGAAGGGGAGGGTAGTTCGTACCTGGAAGCTGTAGAGCGGCTGTTTGATCTGCTTGCGGTTGAGCAGGAAGGGAAGGGGAGGGTAGTTCGTACCTGGAAGCTGTAGAGCGGCTGTTTGAACTGCTTGCGGTTGAGCAGGTAAGGAACCGTTGCGTCGAGACAGCCCTGAGCAAGTCCCACCATTTGCGCGCCGATGCCTATCCTTCCCTCGTTGAGCATCTCGATGGCATACTTGTAGCCTTGCCCCACCTCGCCGAGAACGTTACAGCGGGGCACCTGCATGCGTTTGTGCAGAATTATACTATGACTGATATGCTAATAACACCACTGGAATGATCATAATTGACAGGAAAACTAAATCCGCAGTAATGCTTAAAATTCGACTGGCATGCCCAATAGCTGCAGGTATATCTACACATGCGCACAAACGTGAGCGATATTGAAGACAACCAAAGATAAACATAACAGTCTAAGATATGAGCACTGAAAAAATACGTCTAGAAAACTTAGTAAGCCAGTAACAAATTGGCAGAATATGGATAGTCAATCCTTCCAAAATCCAAAACAGGATCCTTTGGTCAGTGCCTGAAGAGAATTTCGAGCATTTCAATCTAACCGAAAATGATGACATTTCAAGACCGCGAGTAAACAAAGGATAAACTATTGCATAAGCATAGACTCTTGAATCAGTTTAATGTTTGAAGCGGAGTTAAGGTGTGTGAGTATGCAGCACGACCAGGTGACTCTTCTTGTTAAGTTGTGCGTCAAATAACGATATATGAAATAATAACCAATGGTCATAAATTAAATCCCCCAAATAGATGAACAAAAAAACTAAATTTATAAATAATATGAACTGCCATGAGAGTTTATTTCTTTGCCAAAGTAGATAGTGTGCTACTCAAATCGAACACTTCTTCATAAAGCAATTAGAATAATCACTGGAAAAAGGAATTAGATATAACATAACGTCATTAGTTACACAAACACTAGGAATTATTTTTATTTCACTCAGCATTACATTATCTTGCACTCACCACAACGTTGTCGAAGTGCACCTCACAAGTGGCCGACGCTCGAAGCCCGAGCTTGTTTTCCTTCTTACCGACGGTCAGGCCTGGAGTGTTGGCATCCACGATGAAACAAGTTATGCCTTTGTAGCCCTGCAACAAATACGGAGATTTGCAGACCAACAGCAACGACAAAGCATTATTGAGGGGCTTTACCATGTCACAGCTCCCACATTGTCCACACTCGCTTATAGTTATTGGTTTGATTTTAGAGCGTGCAACTGATGGCTGCAAAATTAAACTAGATAATAATAAAGCGCGCGTCATGTGTGCGTTTCATATTAGAGTCATTGAACAGTAAGATGTAGACAGTGTAAAAAAGCTTACTTCCAACAGTTGTAACTGAGCAAGCTCATATTTTTTCTTGAACAAATAGTGAATAATACTTGTACCTTCTTTTTATGCACAAAAAATCATTCATAACCATCTCTTCATTTGAAATTTAAACCAATAAACACAGTTAAATGATCAAGAACCTATACCTAAACCAAAGAATCAAAATTAAATGCTCAGCCATTCATGTATTTGCTGCTGGATTGCACTCGCTACCCCCCCTTGAACCATGGGAAATGTTCATATTAGGCACTTGTAAAACAAACCTTCCCGGGGTCTGCATTCGCCATGACAAGGAAGACACCAGAGTGAGGAGCTGATGAGATCCACATTTTAGTGCCGTTGATGATGAAGTTATTGCCATCCTGTGATGCAGTTGTGCGGAGAGCAAAGGCATCCGAGCCTGCCTCGGCCTCTGACAGGCAAAAGCTCCCAGTCTGATGTAAATAACCATGGAGTAACATTTCAGAACGAGATTCAATCAAGCACATGATAGAAATAATAAAATTTCTTAATTTTAAGGCAGGGTAACCTAGTTGATGCATTCTACCTTATTTTGCTATATTAGAATTTCAACTATTACAAAGTTTATTTGCTATAGCTCAATTAACTCATGTTCTGTTATTTGCTAAACAGTTCCCTTAACATTGTATAGCTACAAAGCTTCCTAAACAATTATTCTTCAATCACTCAAAATAAAGAAATTCAACTAAAAATCAATTCGAATCTTTATAACAAAATGGCTGCAACTACTACTCTAACTGCAACTACTGCAACGAGTAAGATGGTAACCCATTAGCTGCTGATGATAAGCCAAGGTAACTCAGGCAATGAATAACAAAAAAAAAATCACTATTGAAGCTAACATATATAATTCAAAGACACTTTATCAAGAGCTAGCAAATAAATTGCAACTTATACATGAACAGAGATGGCCATGAACACATAAATATTAGGCTTACAAATTCAGAAGCTAACTTTGGCAGGTATTTATTTTTTTGTTCTTCAGTTCCCAGCTTGAGGAAAAGCGTGTTGAGGAGAGTGTTCTGCAGGTCACACACGACGCTGATGGAGGGGCAGAAGCGAGCAATCTCTTCAATGGTCAGAATGGAGGCAAAGAAGGATAGTCCACTGCCCCCATACTCAGGAGGGGTTTCGATGGCCATATACTGCCAAAAGATAAACAATCCAATCAAGAAATATAGAATTGGTTAGTCATCTTTTGTAACTGGAATGTTTTTCAAACATATCATGATAACAACCATGTTTCAAGGCATACAAATTTATATAACTAAAACCCATACTGATGTTGAGTAGTATCCATCTTCACAGAATGAGTATCTTATGTTGGGTATCTGTCTTCATAGAACACTGATAGCATAGATCCAAACAATGTACATTCAATAACTTAGAACCTTTTAAATAAGTTGAAAAAAAAATTATTCCAAGGAATCTCAGCATCAAATTAAACTGAAGCATAGCTCACAGTTCAGTTGGTGGTGCTGAGTAACATTCCGGCTGCTTTAATAAATTCATTTCTTTAAATACAACAAGTCAAATGGCTAAACAAAGGCAGCTTGCCAGGAGTGAGTATCAATGAGCAAGAGCCAGCAAAGGACCTCACCATAACAGAACAACAATGTGTGAATGTGAACAGAAGGCAGCAACACTATCTTCTAGCTCACTCCAGCCCACTCATGCCACAAGCATAATATAATACCCACCCTAATGCTTTAGACAGTGCCAGTCAATTATCACTTAGAAAATTTATCATACAAAACATTCTTAATAGCAGACAGTTGTGGCCAACAACAATTGAGAAAGGAGGAACAGCTTGCTTTATAATTTTAAAGATTATATAGATAAAATTCTTGTATACTTACATAATGAAGCTATATGATTTCCACTTGCCTAACATCATCAAATTACATCAAAAATTTTGAGATTCATAAAAGGATTTGATCTACCAAAAAAGTAAAAGGAGCAGACTAGAAATGCTCAGTCAACACACCTAAATGGAAGCCCAACACATGGAATGTTTGCTGTCAAGCCGGCGCTGCAGAGTGATGATGTAGGTGGGAAAAATATGGGACTATAAACCCAAGCTATTCAATGTGTATAGCTCAAGTCCTATTGTATAGCTCCAAGCTATAGTCCGATTGTAGCTTGGAGCTTTAGTCGTGTTGTATAGCTTCCAGCTATACAATGTGTAATGATGCAATGGTATTGTTAAAAATAATTTTGAGTTGAGAGGTTCAAAGTTTTTAAAACTAAACTGAGAAGAAACTTTGAACAATGTGGGTTTAGAACCAATTTCAAAAAGCAAATGTCAATAATAAGAAGTAAGAACTGTGGAGCAAGCAAGATTTCTTCAGGAAAGAGGAGGAATGATTGATAAACTATTTATTTAATTTTATACAGAACATTTAAGAGAAAGATTAGAAAATACTAGAATAAATAGCTAACAATTTCGGTTATTATTTACATGGAAGTCTGATAGATGAGCATGACAAATTTTAGTGTGATAGAGTTTAACTTCATCCCATGCTCAAAGCATTGCAAAATTTGCAGCATATCTTCAAACTGGCATTGGCCAAACATTTCTCATAGATCTTAGCAACTTATAGTTAAGTTAAAATTACCTGCTTTAGTTAAGTCATTGTGTTCTTATGAAGCTGATACTTCTGTCTTCTATCCTGTATTTTGAATAAATTTTATTTGCATAATCAAGATAATTCAATTAATCCTTAAAGGTATATATTTCAATTTAAAAGGTACTCACTCCATTATCAAATAATCCTTTGAGAATGCCTTGATCCAAAGATGCAGCCTCATCCATACTTGATACCAGAGGTGCAACTGATGTGCTGCAGAATCTCCGCACTGCAACATGCAAAATGTTAACCCATCAACAGTCATTTAACAGCATTAGAAAAATCTCATAGAATTACTGTCTCATTTACAGTAATTTGGCAGCCAAATTCCAGCCAATGACTAGCATTTTACCTAGCAATAAATGTATATGAAGATTTTAGTACCCTAGTGTAACCAAAAATTTGCAATTACATACAAACCAATTATATGCTTCATTACTGCTGATCTGCAATTCTACAGGTGCTCTTATTGCAGTATGAAATTTTAGAAAATGTACTTATTTTCATAGAATTAAAGCTCAATTATTACTTGAATGAAATTGAATTTACTGGCATATCATGATTTTTCCATAATTCAAAGAAGTTATCTGAATGAGTTTTACAAATCAGAAACATGAGAAAAAGTTCAACAAAGAATTCTACCAACACTGTTTGAACACCATACACCAAAAAATGTAACGCACAATGGTAAATTTCCAAAATTTATATTTTCGTGTAGAGAGTTAAAAATACATTCAATGCTACAAAGAACAAAATAGTCTTGACATAACATAAAAAGACATTTCACAAGACACAAAAAGTCCAAAACGAGAAAGAGAGGTCCAACTAATTATTTGTTTCTTATAAATCAAACACAAGCTTACCAGATTCTTTCAGCATAATTTCATCCTCATTTAGTTGAGTTAGGGGTTGCCCAGCACAGCAGTTGCTCACATGCAGTTGAGATTTATGCAAAAACAATGCAGGGGTTGAACACAAGCTTGGTCCCTTACTTTGGAAGAGAGGGTTTGAAACTAATTTTGATTTATCATTCACAACCAGATTGCTATTAATGGAAGAGAATAATGCAGTAGAAGTTTGCTTTAACAATTTGTTCATATAGCCATTCTTGTATTGCAGGGCACATCGCAGCTGGTTGGTAATTGAATTATTCATGGCCACAATTGTTACAGTCTGAAATGAAGAAGCAACATCTGAATTTACAAATTCATAACAATTGATTAGTATTCATAAAATTGACTGCTAAAATTTCCTCATAACAACATACATAACTATTGCACCAATTTACATTCTTCAAATTACTTTTAAAAGCAAAGAAAACGCCAAGAAAATTCACCATATCGATATTGAAAACATTTTCAATATCGATATGGTGAATTTTCTTGGCATTTTCTTTGCTTTTAAATTCCTTGTTAACTTGCAATACAAGCAGACTAATAATATAAGTACTTCAAATTGCTCTGATGAAGAATAAAATGATCTTCTCATTGATAATTGTACTCATAAGATCAATGCCACACAATCGCACAATATTTGCTTAGTCATGACTCATGAGGAATGTCTAGCTTACTATAAGATGAAGATACTAACTTCAAAAGTTTTTCTATGTACAGTGTAATATGATAATTCAAGTTGTTACTAATGAAAATTGTGTCTGATTAAGTTCTGTCATCAAACACACAATTCAAGGTTTAGAAGTTCCTAAAAAATAACTGTACCAGCTTTTGTTGTTATTGCTTCTATGATCCTCTTTGGTGTAAATTGCAGATAAGGAGAAACAAGTCAGCTGCTAGAAGGCGATATGCATGAAATGCTGAAATATGCATGAAATGCTGAAATATGCATGAAATGCTGAAATATGCATGAAATGCTGAATGAAATGCTGAAATATGCATGAAGTGCTGAAATATGCATGAAGTGCTGAAATATGTATGAAATGCTGAAATATGCATGAAATGCAGAAATATGCATGAAATGCTTGAATATGCCTGAAATGCTGAAATATGCATGAAATGCTGAAATATTTTGAAATCACTAAAGAAAAGAGAAAAAGTTGATCAAAATAGCATTTAAATTCTTGATGAGTCATGGTCTCATTTGGGTTGGAGATGCTGAGTGCAACTGTGGGTTTTTTTTATATACACCCGGTTGCTCAATGTGCCCCAGGTTGCTCAATGTGTACTGGTTGCTCTATGTGCACCAGGTTGCTCAATGTGTACTGGGTTGCTCTATGTGCACCAGGTTGCTCAATGTGTACTGGGTTGCAGACTTGCAGCATCAAGAAAATTAATAATGCTTTCAGATTTGCATTACGTAACAAGTTATAAAGCAGTTCAATGAACTTGCCACTGGAGCATTTGTGGGGTTGGCTTTGCCTGCACATCTGTAATCTGTGGCAGTACTGTACAGGTAGCAGGAAAATGTCTACTGACTGGATTTTAAAAGCAGATGAACAAGGACAGAAGTTCTCTTGATGCTGGTCCCAATACCAAGTTTTGAGAAATAAAAAGTTTTGGCAGATTGTAAAGCAACACTGTAGGAGATCTTAGAGCATGAGCATGTTTTCATCATATATAAAGCATGCTTTATTTGAGGACAGTCATTAAAGCATTCTGTATCTAGGCCACCACAATTACAGAAATCTATAAAGAAGGCTTCAGTGTGTAGGCAGTTCATAAACAGCAAAAAAAAAAAAATATATATATATATATATATACAGCATTTATGCTATAGTATTTCCAAGGTTAGAAATTTGTAAGCAAAGAAAATTTCACTAAAGCTCATCACATCTTTATAGAAAACATTTTGGAGTCCAGCTACAAGGTCAGTCCGACAACAGGTTGACAACGACCTTGTCCACTGCAAGCTTCATATCAGCAACCATGTAGCCTTTCTTCTGTATCTGTAAGCTTACAGGATGGTTTGTAATTTTTCACAATTTTAATTGAGTCAAGTTATTTCACTATAACAAAAAAGATTGTAAAAAATGTACTCAAAACAGGAAGGAATATTTTAGTGACAACCATCATATTTTTTGGAGAAATAAATCGTAGTTTAGGTTAATTACTTTTCATTCTTTGTTGCCCAGTGCGCAATTCTATCTGTGACATTCTATGCAGTATCAGAGGTGGGCAGTAGCGCGCTACATGTAGCGGCCGCTACATTTTTAGTAGCGGTAGAGGCTCTACATTTAAGGCAAGGTAGTGGTAGCGGTAGCGCCCACTACATATTTAAGTAGCGATACGAGGTTTTGCCACTACAGCGCTACCGCTACATTTATAGATAAAGCCTTTAGATTTTACTTAAGGGGACCGGCTACCCTCCACCAAAACTTTTTTGTTTACAGACGGATCGTTTTGAAACTTGGTACACATATGTAAAACAGAAATCTAAGACCTTTTTGTTCATGTAAATTTAAAAAAAATGAAAGAAAATGTGAATTAATAGAAAACGGCAAATAAGGGGTACTCTAAAAAATTTATAACTTTTGCAAATCACATGCTACAATGTCGAGACACATATAATTCCATTTGTAACAACAATATCTAGCGACTGTAGAGCCCATATTTTTTATTTTCCTCATTGTTTTTTTTTCATGTTCTTCCCATTTTTTTCAAATTTTTACCCCCCACCTTCCTCCCCCTCCCATATATAAGTCAAACCATGCACATATTAAAAAAAGGCTTCTAGAGTCGCTAGGTATTATTTTTACAAATCGAATGGTATGTCTCTCATTGCCGTAGCTTGAAAACTGTTGGAGTTATAATTTTTTTAAGATGGCGTTTTTTGGATTTTTAAATTGTTCAGGGGAGCCAAATAATGTAAAATTCATTGAAAACAGAAGAATATGCCCAAAAAGTCTTGATATTGTAGCCCAAGCTTGTTCATTGCCAATTATTTGCATTCAAGGTACCAGCACGCGTCTTTAGACCTATTTATGTTCAATTTAACGTGAATAAAAGGCTATAAATGGGACTTTTTATATATAAATATATATATAAAATATTCATTTTACATAACTTAACAACTGCATTACGCAAAAACTATTGCATGAACATCCATGGTAGTAGCTTTGTTAAATGCGTCTTGTTTGTAGCTTTCAAACGAGTGCAAACACTTTGCAATTAACCTAAATAACGACATATAAATACCATTTATTTGTAAATAATGATATAAAATGATCATTTTATAAAAGTTAAAGACTGCATTACACAAAAAAGTATTGCATGTACATCTATGGTAGTAGCTTTGTTGAAGGCGTCTCGTTTGTAGCTTTCAAACAAGTGCAAACACTTTGTAATTAACGAGAGTAATGATCAATATATATAGATTTAATTCAAATAAATCTTTGTACATATTGTTAAAAAATGTTCATATATTTTTAAAATTGTCTTCCGCAAAAATTATAGCACGCAGAGACATGCTGTAAACTGCGTTAGACGCGCCTTTTCAGCAGCTATAAAATGAGTCAAGAAAACGGTAAAGCCAAAATTTCCGATTTTTAGGGTAGTTGGTCCCCTTAATAGTATTAAATATTATTTAAAAACCAGCATGATACATACATAATATAAATTACAGAATAAAACTGTGCGAAAGATTTCGGTGTAATGTTGTCAATCTCAGCCTGTTACTAGTGTCAACATGTTAGTTGTTACTTGTCAAGTTGTTACTAGTTACCACTTACCGTAAAATGGGGTAACTTTGACCACTTTTTTTCTTCAAAATGATGCCATTTTTTACTAGATAAGTTAAACTTAAATTGAAACATGCAAAATACAGGTCTAATCTCTAGCTTTACTCACCATAAAATGCTGGCTCCTGCCTCTCATAGTTTTGATGTAATTTCAAAAAAAGTGATGGTCTTTGTTACCCCAGCTCGTGGGATTTCTTTGACCGGGTGGTAAAATCAATTTCATTTTTTGGTAAAATAACTCCAAATAACTCTAGGTTGTGGTGCATTGTAGTAAAACTCTTCTAGTTACATATGCAAAAGACAAATTTTAGGAAAGTGTCATAGTCTGCAAATGGGGGGCGCCGCCCCCAAATGGGCAAAATGTGACCATCTAATGGCAGCCGTGACGGGGTAACATTGACCGGTTTGGAAATTAAGTTAAAATTACCATATATAAGACTGTAGAGTCTGAAACATAAAGAAAAAAACATCAATAGGTGTATCAAACATAAAATATGTTATATAGGTACCTATGGTAATTTTAACTTAATTTCCAAGCCGGTCAATGTTACCCCGTCACGGCTGCCATAAGGTGGTCAAAGTTACCCCATTGGGGGGCGGCGCCCCCCATTTGCAAACTATG